TACACATATACGTACGGGCCTTAAGGCACTAATAAGATGACAGTATCACGAAATTATTTGAAAAAACCACATCGCATATATGGGGTGGGGGGGTCGAATATCTTTAAGGGGGGACGATATTCCTGGGGCATTCGACCCTCTTGGAGGGGGCGATATTCCTAGGATATTCGCCCCCTTTTGAGAGGGGGCGAATCTCGTGGGGGGGACAAACGTCCTGTGACATCGGCATGGGCAAATAGCAGTACCTTTTTAAAAACTTTATCTTGCCCCCTCCCAAAAAAATATGAGTTTGCCCCTCAAATGCCCCCCCCCCCAAATCTAAGCCCTGGCGCCGCCACTGATTCTTTTAGTTGTTAGTGTGGTTTAATTAATAAACATCTTTTATACTATGCATGATTTCTTGTACCCGTCTTTATTAATCTAAACAATGAAATCATTAGTTACCAAGATTCTGCAGTTCGACCTGGCATAAACGAAAACAATTTCGACCGTGTCCTAATGAAAATAAGAACTATAGTATAAACTCAGGTACATTAATGCCTGGGTCCCAGTTTGTGTATTTAGCGAAAATAAACAAAAAATCATAAAAAAATAAGTATGGCCTTGATTATTACCATTCAAGTTTTATATGATTTATCAAAGGAGATTCTAAAAGATGACCTACTTTTCGTTGTCATCGCAACGATCACATGATGTATATTTCAAAAAACAACACAAAGAATGATACTTTTTATTCAGAGGCTCTGCAGCAGTATATTTCGCGACTGAGAGGATGCAGAATTGCGATAATCATTCAGACATAATATCATTGTTTATTGAATAAATTCGGAAAGTTTACATTTAGGCTTCGTTTCATTATTTTATGCGGCTATATTACGATGATCGGCATCAAACGAATGTTAATCGCGTCATTAAATGTTATCTACAAATAAATGTACAGTTTCCAAATTAACGCAGGAAACTTTGTTCACTTGTTAATGTTTTTAGCTAACAAACATAGCAAAATTTCGTCAAATTACCCTGCTGCAAGTCGAACGCGTTTTTCGCATGATAAATTTCACGCACCATAATGAAACAGTCTGCCGCTTATTGTAAGGGATATTATATTTCCAATAACAACATTCATTGCGCATTCAAGCCGATATCTTGAAGCATAGTTAATGCTTGAAGGGAAGTATGCGATGGTGGAAAAGACCGAGTGAACTATATGTGCTATTAATTTGTAATTCACAAGCTATTTTTCATTGAAAATAAGAAACAGTCAACAATTAATACTGAATAATCGCACGATAGCGCACTATAAGAAGCTTTTATTTATCAGCAGTTCAAATGTCAGCTGTCGCAAATGATACAATACTTATTGCTATACAAAGAGCCAATTATTACATCAAAACTGAATAGTATACCGACTTCTTTGCATTGTATATACCAAAATAATCCTGTCGCTCAAATATACTATATTTTGGTTTGAAAATTCACTAAAATACTCACACAAGGGGCGAATATTCTAACAGACGCATTACTGACAGATCGCACGTGCAACACTCGCGCAAGATATCATCCAAGCGTGGGCAGACCCAGGCATTAACATGCCTGAGAACCTAAATAGAGTATATATATACCATGCATTGGTTGTAGGTAACTTATTCAGTTAATATATCATATATAATTATAGGTAGCTAATCAAATTGTTTTTTTAGAATTTCTAGTCTTTTCCAAACAATCTCTCTTGTAAATTTTCGCAAAGGAATGACAAAACCGATCTGCAGCGAACTGTCAATAACCCCGGTATATATTCTATAAGCTATGTCATGATCCCATGAATTAATACGACCAGAATTGAAGAAATGGATGATTGTGCATAAAACACAAATTTCAAGAAAATTGGGCAAATTATCGTTGCATGATGGATCCGGAATGGAAAGTTTTTCGTTCAATTTCTGTAATGTGTGTTTTAATTCTCTTGCTTGGCGATATTTTGTTCTTCTTCTTCTTCATAATCTTTACGATCTTTGACCTACATTTCACACCTGAACACATACCTTTGCATTTGCACTTTGGTGAACATTTCTTAAACTGCAAAATGCACTTACACCTTTTCAGACTTTTGTATTTTTTCTTATTCTTCAATGGTGTGGATTGACCACATCTGCAACCTATAGCGGAAATATGTTACTGATATAATTGTAATGATATATAGCCCGCAAGGCAGACGGTAGGCAGACGGACGAAAATTATAAGTTGAAATAAAAAAAGAATTCGAGCAAGGGATTATATTTTAAAAAATTATCGACACAAGCAAAAAATTTTGAAAAAATATTCGTACTAGTTGAAAAGCCCCCATCACTTTTCTAATGGTCCGTCCCTAATGGTCCGTCTTCTAATAGTCTGTGCGCTTATTGACTTATATTTAATTTATTATATAGGTTATATTTTAGCCTTTTCATATGCAGTGCAGTTTGGCAGAGTATACATTTACTTGAAAAGAATTTGTTTCTAAAGTAACGTTTTACTTCGTTATTATTCATTTTGTGGTGAAGTATTTTGCGGTTACTTTCCTACGATTATTTGTCATGAGATTATATACTGGTACATGACAAGATTCAATATCAGTTTCCAACACACCACAGCTATATTGTAAATAGGTAGTATAAAAATTATTAGATAAACTTTATCAGCACCTATATATGTTGACTGCATAACATCAGATCCCTTTTCATGGTTAGATTGTTCTTTATCAGCTTCGCAATCCATTTGTCTTTCTGGCTGTATTGTTGCACCTTGAAAAAAATGTTTCGCCTAATTTCAGTATGAGTAGTCTGTGTCTGTATATAGTCTGTTAACTATAGTATTTAAAATACTAGTCATTAATAATTCATGAGGAAAAGACAAAATAAATTTTTAATCAATGTTTGTATAAATCGGATAAAGATTTGTCATGATTTACATAAACTTTAACTTCGATCATTTTCTCAGCTTAGACAATGTTTATTTTTAAAATTACTTCGCCAATAAACTCATAAGATCTATTTAGATGGGTCGTTTTAAGTATACTAGTTATCCGATCTTTATCTGATATACAAACTCTTACCTTCAATCAGCTCGAGTTTGTATATCAGATGACGATTGGCTGCTCATGTTCTAACTAGTACATTTATGTCCAATCTGAATGAAATATTAAAAATGTGGGAGCAAAATATTATGTCAATTTTACATAGTTTTTAAAAGTAAACATTTCTTTATTTTTTTCACTTACTGCATGCTTACCTCAAATTATGCACAATTAACAATACAGTCTGTTTCGTGAAAATAATATATATACCTGCAGACGATGTTTCCAGTGTGGTTGAAGAAGAGGTTAAAGCTGCACCATAATGTCCAGGACCATACGCGGAGTATGCCAGAAAAATAGGCGTGGTTGACAGAATATTACGACTTGGACATATGCTGATTAAAGGACTACTTGGTTCAGAAGTGACAATCGCAAGAGGGATTCCCAAACAATTGGCTATTGCTAGAGGCATCAGATCACCCATAGGACCACTAAATACCCCTGAAGTCTCAAATCTGGCTACTTCAGCAAAGTAGTCTATGTCATACGGTAAAAAATTGACATATTCATCTGCAACTGCGTCACCTCTCCATTCTTGTACAACTAATGTTCTTAGCTGAACAGCCAACATTTGGATGCACATGTCTGAAGTTAAGCCAATACTTGCTAGATAATCATTTGTACACTGAGTCATTGAATTGGAAGAGAATAAATTTGACAATTGGAATGCAATCGCAGTAAAAAAACAATTACCATCACCATTTATATCGACTTGCTCCAATCCAAAGGCTTGTAAATGACCTAAAAGTATTGTGTTGTGTGTTGAATAAGATCCAGCAGGTATATTACATTTTATTTGCCCAACATGCTGTAATTCACCAACACATGCGTGGCCAAGACCAATGGAAGAAGGAAGATTACTTTTTGTAATTAATCGTGTTCCTCCAACGTCATGTAAACAATTGTAAATTTCGTAAAAGCTAAGTGTGCAGAAAGCAACTGGAAGTGTCACGTCATTTTCATTTTCCAGCTGTATGTAAGTATGATCAAGGTCATCACAGTCATTTTGTAAAGATGAACTTATAGAGTCTTTGATTTTACGAAGAACGTCTGGTGACATCTCATTCAATGATCCATATTTAAATAATCTGGCGATGGAAAAATCAAACCATTTTCATTTC